ACAGATTCAAAGAGTGTTGGTATCTGTAGAGGAATGGGGGAACACATGGGGCTTTAAAATCTCTGCTTCTAAGACTAAATATATAGTATTTGGATTTAAAAGAAAGTTACCTAATCTAGGGCTATATATGTATGGGTCTCCATTGGAGAAGGTAAAGGTTTTTAAATTTTTAGGTGTTTGGTTTGAAGAGCATTTGACTTGGGCTGTGCATGTAGATAAAATTGTGTTGAAGTGTGAAAAAGTTCTGAATGTAATGAGAAGTCTGGCTGGGTGTGAGTGGGGGGCTAATAGGGAGACGATGCTGCTAATTTTTCAGGCCATGATTAGATCTGCTCTAGATTATGGGAGCTTTGTGTATGGATCTGCTTCCAAAACTGTTCTGGATAGGTTAGATGTGGTGCAGGCAAGGGCTTTGAGGCTTTGCTGTGGGGCCTTTAGAACCTCCCCAGTCTCTGCCCTACTCATTGAAATGGGAGAAATGCCCTTATGGTTAAGACGCATTAAGTTAGGGTTACAACACTGGGTCAAACTTAGTGGGTGTAATCGTACCTTCCCAGCAAGGTGTCTGTTGCAAGAGGTTGCAGGAGCTAATAGATACAAAACATTTTTTGACATAGTAAATCAGTGGGCAGGTAAGATGTGCATGGATCAGGGAGTTACTGTAGAGCATATAAGTTGGCCACCAATACCATATTGGGTGATGCCTGAAATAAATATCAAGCTTGGTTTTCTTCAGGGAAAAGATAAGTGGGAAGTGGCACTAAAAATAGAGAAATATCTTAATTCAATTAGTGGGAGCACAATGATTGTTTATACAGATGGATCTAGAGATCCAGTTAGTGGGAGAGCTGGATTTGGGGTGTATGTGGAGCAGTTAGGGTTGGAAATTGGTCGGCGTATTTCTAATGGAAGCTCTGTCCTCACTGCTGAATTAATGGCAATTTTATGGGCTCTATGGTGGATTGAGGAAGTCAAACCTAGAGAAGTCATTATCTGCTCTGATTCTACAGGTGCTCTGGAAAATTTGAAAGTAGGAAAATCTAAAGCCCGACCTGACATTGTAAATGACATCTTGAATGTGGTTTTTAGAACTAGGTTTATTTGCAACATCAGTTTTTGCTGGGTTCCCGGGCACGTTGGGGTGAGGGGGAACGAACGAGTGGATAATATTGCAAAAGAGAGCTTAGGAAGAGAAGTAGATGTCCATGTATCATTAGGGAGAGTGGAATTGAGAGAAAGAATTAAAGAGGGCTTAATAAAAGAATGGCAGAGAGGGTGGGAAAACGAAATTAGAGGCAGACACTACTTTTCTATACAACCCAAAGTTAGGAAGAGATGTTTATGTAACATTTTGTCCCGCAGGGACTCAGTTAAAATGTGCAGATTGAGGTTGGGGCACTGTGGATTAAATTATTCTTTGTGCATTGTAGGGAAGCATGTTTCGGGCTTGTGTGAATGTGGGAGTCTTGAGACAGTGGGGCATGTTTTCCTGGAGTGCAGAAGGTATAGGGCAGAAAGAAATGTACTCGTTAATAAACTGTCAGGACTTGGAGTTGAGGCTTTTCTGTTTTATCTTTGTTTGGGCACAGTGACGAGCATAAACTGATCTCCAAGGCAGTCCTTCAATTCTTGCATGACACAGGACTGTATGTAAGAATTTAAATTCAAACTTTGACCTGTGGAGGGCAGTAATACGCTCATAAGCGTCCACACTGCCGGAATCTTACAAGAAGAAGAAGAAGAAGAAGAAGAGCGCGTGGTATCAGTCTTCTCATCGAACTGTCAGTAAGAAATCTAATAAATGTATTTTCCAAAAAGTGTCACTAGCTTCAAAAGCAAAATAACTATTTCAGGGCTACTGTAGCAGGAGTTGCTGTGCCCTCCAAGTGTGAGGATTCAATGTCACCATGGTACATGATAAAACATATATCTGTTGAAGGGGACAAGTTACAATACTATACCTGGAAGTAAATGTGATTGACTTTTTAGTGAATTCAGAATACATCTCAACCTTTGCTAGCACTTAATTACAATGTGTCTATAAGCACCTATACTACTTGTACTATAACATTGAACATGCTTTAAGTTATTTGTTTAAAAGGGATATATTCCCAGTTAGAAGATATCTAGCTCTTTCTCCTACGTGGCCACTTTCAACAAAAGCCCCTGCAAAAGTGAATATAATATTATGAATCTGAACCTTTGCCTCAGGCTTCTGGGTGTGAATAGGGTGGTGATCTATAACACCAGCTGTGGCCCAGAACTTGACCGCCTGTTGCAGACCTACAGCCAAGAGGGCTTTGTGGAGATGGTTCCTTGGCCCATTGACCAGCATCTGAATCCATCTTCTGGCTGGCTCTTCTCAAAGAGTGGTGGGGATGTGCACTACTTCGGCCAGCTGACCACGCTTAATGAATGCATTTACAGATCCATGGACCGGTCCCGCTATGTCATGCTGAACGACATAGATGAGATTATAATGCCATACCAACATAACGACCTGATGTCACTGTTTAACACGCTCCAACAGCAGCATCCAAATGTAGGGTATTTTGTGAATGCATTTCATAAAAACATAACATTTACCCCAAACTTATTCATCATATTGTGTATTTTTTATACTATATTGTCTTTCCAAATTCCATGCTGCACCTGTGGAACCTCATGTCCTGCAGACGGGGGTGTTCCTCATTGAGAACCATACATTTCCCAAGAAACCCTTTGAGGAAAGTAAAAAGGGCCCCCTGCCTCAATGGAGAGGGGTGCCAGGCTTTAATATTCTGGAGCACATCTACAGGGAGGAGCCCGACAGAAACATATACCACCCCCACAAGATGATAGTTCAACCAAGGTAGGCTGACTTCTTAGTCCTGATGTGAAATATCAGAAGATATATATTGAAGATATATATCTTTTTTAAAAAGTATTAAACATATCAAGTAGCAGCATTCGTGTGATGCTCAGGGTTGACCATGTGTGAATGTTTATGTACATCACAGGATGGTGGAGCAGACCTCAGTACATGATGTGCTGAAGATGTTTGGAGACAAGTTTAAGGTTCCACCAGACGTCTGTCGTATCATTCACAGCCCAATCAGCACCCCGACACAACGGCCACTGGAGCAGCTCCATGTGGACACTCGCCTGTGGGACTTTAAAGAAGAACTGCTCCCCAGTGTGAGCAAGGTGCTGAGGAGAGCCGGGCTGCTGAGTTGAGAAGGGCAGTCAGAGAGATGGACGTACGCTCAGATGGACAAACAAGCTGTACACTTATTATATAGCTCCGTAAAGCTTGCTGCAGATTCTGGTGATAATTCTCACTTGGTTCATCACTATGAGCCACCCATTTCCCATTGTCACCTTCTTTTTATATTGCCATTTGATACATTGTTGTTACAAAAAATAATGTACAGTAAATCTGTCTTCCAACCTTCATAAAACAGTGAAGCACACCTCACATCAGTGATCTAAAAATCATGAGGAAATGCAACACCGGTCCTTTCTTAGAAACCGCAGGCACCTGATAGGGAAGGGGGAGGGTGCATCTGAACTGGGCTGGATTACTTTGCTGTTTGCCTGGCTGACCTCTTGGAGTGGATGTCAAGGCACTGCCTCAAGTCAAGTTACATTTCTTACAATGTCAGCTCAATATACTTCACACACAGCAAATATGAACAAAATTAAATTAAACATGAATCCATATTTAAATACATGCAATAAAATAAAATGTTTCAATAAAATATGTCATCCCCTGCCCACCCACACGTACCCAAAGAGAGAGGGAATGAAAGAGAGAGAGACAGCGAGGCGGTGGTTGTACCACATGCCTGAGAGAACAGGTAAGTTTGTTTTTAAAGGACAACACAGGTATGGTACATCTTATATTACCAGGCAGTTTGTTCCAGAGAATTTGTCCAAAATAAATGAATGCACCTTCATCAGATGAGTCTAGTTAGGAGAATGGAGTCTTATGATCTGAGAATTCTGTAGGGTTTATAAGCAGTGAGTAGGTCAGAGATATATTTAGGAGCTATCCAAGTGATTGATTTGTAAACAGTAAGCAATATCAATTCTTTTTTTATATGGTTGTGTTGAAATAAATCCTTGAAGCTAGGCTAGGCAATTTATTTCAGAAGCAGTTTTTTTATATTTGTTGAAATTCTCTTTACTTCCCAACAGCAATAAATAAATCAAATGCACTGAGACATAAAAACATCTGTAAGCATCTGTAGTGTTGTATTGATCATGTTAGTTGTTTAAAAGGGACACACTTCACAATTTTGGATGATATCTAGCTCTACCGCTACAAGGGTAGAATGCACTTAGTGAAAGTACAATTGGACAAATGCATCTGCCAAAGGAATGCAATGTGGGCCTACTTGTTAATAAAATTTAGCCATTTAGCAATTGGATGTTTCCCATTTTAGTTATCCTAGAGCCACCATGGCTCTATGGATGGCAATGTTGTTACACTAGTTTGGTCTAGAATACATCTCGACAACTCAAATTTTTTTTATAGCCTAGGCCTATATCTTGTCTTGCATCTTGTATCTACAAGATGGATTGGCACCAACTGTAAAGTCAGTCATTGCTCCCAGACATCCCCTATTTTTTCCTCTGGTGCCCTCATCAGCTACTTTCCATTTAATGCAAATATTAGCATGCTAATACTGACATTTAGCACAAATCACTACAGGGCTTAAGCAATGCCCCACAGACAAACTAGTGTGGTTAATAACTCTCACTCTTGTTAAACAGGAAAAAGCTTGTGGAAGAACAAGATTTTTCTGCCCAAAAATTTCAGTATGACTACTATAATGGAAACCGGGGCTAAGCTTGTATCGGATTGACAATCAAAGTCAGAAGTAAATGTGACAAATGACTTAAACAATTGCTGAATTAAAGCTAAGGCTAATACAAATTGCAGTACTATGCTTCTCACTTAATGTCTTGTTTGTTGATATATACAGTAATTACTGAATGTCAGGCACCTGATGATTATTATGTGATTTACCAATAGTGTGGGTTCACTTGATGTTGATACATAGTAAACCTAAAGCTACTAATCTAAGCCTTTTTGTGTCCTTCATGCCATTAAGTGTCTTTTGGAAGGGTTACAGGCTTTCAACCAGCTCACAGATGCCACAAAACAAAGGCAAAGGATGCCATATTTGCTGAGAGGAACTGTTTTTGTGTTAATCAAATATGGCTTTGATAAAGTTGTTGTTGAAATTCTCTTTACTTCCCAACAGCAATAAATAAATCAAATGCACTGAGACATAAAAACATCTGTAAGCATCTGTAGTGTTGTATTGATCATGTTAGTTGTTTAAAAGGGACACACTTCACAATTTTGGATGATATCTAGCTCTACCGCTACAAGGGTAGAATGCACTTAGTGAAAGTACAATTGGACAAATGCATCTGCCAAAGGAATGCAATGTGGGCCTACTTGTTAATAAAATTTAGCCATTTAGCAATTGGATATTGTTGTACTGTAGGCTAACCTTCTCTGTCCTTCCCATGAAAAATGCTTCATGTAGGCCTATGCAAGGGCATCATTTTGTGTTGAAAAGTGGTGGGGACATAAAGGCTCATGCTGAAATATATGAGTGGCAGGCCTGGGGTTTCTCCCCAGAAGATTTTGAGCATTAAACACTTAATTTCCTGCATTCTGGAGACATTTTCTGCTCCAATTTATAGTGGAAATGTCTTTATATATATAAAGAGAAAGTTAGTTAACATTTCTTGGTGCAAGTAAGTTATCAGAATATTTTTTACAAATGCTTTCCAACAGTGATGGGGACAAAATCAGCCATTTCAAAATGTGGTGGGAAAATGTCGCCAGCATCCCCAGTTTAAATGACACCTATGGGCCTATGGCATATGTTTTGACATGAACTAATGTACTGTATACTGGGCAAAGTTCTCTGAATATAGCCTATTTAAAAGGATTCACCTCCTTGTTACTGTTAAGTAAACTATGTGTGTAGTCGTTGTGGGTTGACTGTTGGCCAAGCACAGAGCATCATGCAGTGAAGGCGATCACATAGTAGCCTATTTCATATGATATGACCTCCTCTGCTAGCCTAAGCTTAAAATAGCCTACCCTAAATCGCGCTTTGCTTAGTGTTACATGTAGTAGGCTATAAATCCTGATTTATAGGGCCATTTGATAAGAAGAGCTATTTATGTGTGACTGGTACAAAAACCACCATGGATAGGTGGTGGGTTTTGTGATGACACGCCCACATCCAAAGGTGAATCAACAGCGTGGGTGACTGAGGAATACCGGAAGGGAGGTGTCACACCGATACTTTATAAGCCGCTATCTTGCAGAAGTGATACCTTCCGAAACAAGGACACAGGAACTCTAGAGTTAGTGCATCCCGTTGGGTTGTGGTCTTCAGTCGCCAGCCAGGACGTTTTGAGTAAGTTACTGTCTGTTAATATCAATAGTAGCCTAATGTTAAATCTAATTGGCCTCCTTCGCGTGTTTCTCCAATAAGCTTTAGAGACGTGAGGCCATGAACTGTAAAACGCGATTCATTCAGTATCCCCTCCCGCGTTTGGGACACTCAGTAACAAGATCATAGTAATAGTAGTGTTTATTTAAACGCTTAAAAGTTTCATTTTGTGATTGCTGCAATGTCCCAACCGCATCCATAGTCAATTCATGTTAATGTTAAGCTTTTGTGTTCTCTTTAAACGCTATTGTGGGAAATGAAGGGTGTATCAGTTTATAGTGGACTCGTTCTTTTATCATTTTGTTACCATTGAAATCTGTATCATTAAAAATACATCTAATACAGTACTACTAAGCCTACAGCTGATAAAACGGTTCCAATGAAAATATATTTGCTGAAAGTAACATAACTCAAAACTACAAAACTGGAAATCTGTTGGCAGCAATGTAGATGTTCATCTGGTCACAGTCTACTTACTGAAACCACTGTAATGCCAGATCAGGTTATTTCTCATAATGCTAAAGTGTACTCTCCTAATCTACACACATGGCCTAAGTAAAGAGGGTTTAATTTATTTATTTTGAGAAGATCA